CCTTTGGCCTCTGCCTCCCATCAATTTACCTCATTGCAGCAAGCAGCAAGAAGAAACAGCTCGTTTCAGCGTCAGCACAGCCTAATTAGCACAAGTTGATTGGATCAGCCTCCCGACTCTCAGCTGTTTTGCTCTCAGCAGTTTTGCCGGCCTCTGCTGCTTGCTGCAAGGAAGAAAATTGCTGGAGCAGATTTTTTTCCCCCTTGTGCTAATCAAGCTATGCTGAAAATGAAAATGAAAGTAAAGCAGGCTGTTTGCTGCAACGAGGCAAAATTGCTCAGAGGCAGAGGGAGATTTCTTTTTCTTCTTTTCCTCCCCAAAAAGGGCAGGTGCATCTTATAGTCTAGTGCATCTTATACTCTGAAAAATACGGTAATCTGTGATGCTGGCCTGAACATGGATAATTTGCTTATTTGTTTGCTTTCCAGTTATTTATTTTTCCGAGTTTTCTTGTTCTGCAGGCACTCAAAGCAGAATCTATGCTTCTTTCTGTTAATTTTCTTCTTATTACAGCAATGCCATCATAAAGTAGACGCTGGATTGATTGCATGAGATAATTAATGGAGCAATGTTGGTGAATTGTCCAAGTCATGTAAAAAAAAATAATAATAATGGAGAAAAATGGGTAACTTACAGGTGTACACTTAACACTTCATCTATAAGCTTATGAAAGTTACTGCAAGGGACCCTGCATTGGGCAGAGGATGAGACTGAAGGATCTCTAAGGTTCCTTCCAACTTTGTGATCTGATCATTTTATAACTGGGGCCTGTTCTGTGAGCTTACACACAAAAAAAATCTCCGGTGTCGAAAACTTGTTCTGTGGAAGCCAGAAGAAGAACAGGGATGAAAGAATTCAGACTAGGATGCTATTTGCGTAGAATCGGGGACAATGTTGGTACCATAATCAATTTCCTATAAACTACTCAATTTTTGTTCCAAAACCAAATGCATAACAGACTAAAGACATGGAGGAAAGGAAAGGGTATTATAATAGATATTATATTTTTACACTCCAGGGCCTCAGAACCTTGCAGGAAGACTATCTCTGAATAACAGAGTTGGAAGGGACCTTGGAGGTCTTCTAGTCCAACCCTCTGCTCAAAGAGGAGACCATATACCATTCCAGACAAGTGGCTGTCCAGTCTCTTTCTTAAAAGTGTCCGGTGATGGAGCATCCAAAACTTCCAAGAACTCAACTACAATTTCATTTCATTTCATTTCATTTCATTTATTCGAATTTCTATACCGCCCTTCTCCTTTCGGACTCAGGGCGGTGAACAGCCAGATAAAAAACATCTATACAAACATCACAGTTAAAAATAAAGTTAAAATAATTTATAAATTTGGCCCATAATTTAAAACTTGTCAATTAAAATAAATATTAAAATTTTAAAACTAACCCTAAAATCAGGACAGACCGGCTAGCTGAAATTTCAAGTTGAACTTCAAGAAGACAACCTCAACTTCACGACTTGTCTCAAGAACTTTTTGGTTTCAGACATGGAAACCAAAACTTACGTTTGCTTAGCACATGTACTGTATATGCCATTTGTGTTATGGTTCCAGGCGAATCTGAGAGGCTCGCAACTTCATGAAAATAAATTCGGATGGTTTTCATTAATTAACCTGCAAATAAGTGGGAAAAACCGCCATACTGGACACCACTTTTCATGTGATCTTGTCTATTGGGATGGTCCTTGAACAAGAGGGGTGACTAATGAGATTGCACCATGGCTCATTTCCTGGGGTTGACGATATCCAGAACTACTGTATAAAGCAAGCAAGGGAGTCATTCACCTAACCAGCTGAACTTCAAACGTAGGATGAAGAAACATTCAAAGTTGTGTCAATGCAGTTGCGAGGTGTAAAGCTGGTGTGCAAACACAACTTCAGTGCCATGCTTAGTGGCATCCCTAATCCACTCTCTGAAGCTATAATCTTTGTATTGCATGGGGAAAATTACTTGTTACGGATCATTCTGTTGGATTGGTTCAAACATTATTCTAAACATTGCCTTCGTTTGTGAAACATTCTACTGTTCACTTGGAAGATCCCCCAGAGTAGGTTGTCTCTACTCCGGGGGCCTCCAAACTTGGCAACATTAAGATTTGTGGACTTCCCAATTCCCAGAATCCCCCAGCCAGCATGGATTCTGGGAGTTGAAGTCCACAGAATTCTGGGAGTTGACAGAATTCTGAAATCCACAGAATTCTGGGAGTTGAAGTCCACAAGTCTTAAGATGGCCAAATTTGGAGGCGCTGCTCTACTCATGTCCCTTGAAAGATCTCCCAGAGTAGGTTGCCTCTAGTCTGGTCAACCAAATCAAGAGAATTCCTACTCATAGTCTTACGACCTGGAAGGCAAAATGCAAAGAGAAAAACAACAACAACAGGGGGAAGACTGGCAAAAATGCAAGCTTAAACACTCATTCTTAAAAATAAAGAAACGGGACTCTTTCTGAGGGCCTGAAGAAGAGACCAAGCAGTCAACCACTATCCCTGCTGATCCAACCTAGGATTAAAATGTCACATCTGCATGAGCAACAATAGAGTTGAAATAGCACCCGCTTGTTTTATAAGGCAAATTAAAATAGATCCTACTTGTTTGTTTTCACGGAGCAGGGTCCCTCACACACCTGTAAACAACACATAGAAACCCATAAATTTCTGGATAGCTCAGCAGACTAATGCATTGTAATTTAACTCCAGCTGTCTGCAATTAGTAAATTCGAATCTTGCCAGGATCAAGGTTGACTCAGCCTTCCATCCTTTCTAAGGTAGGTAAATTGAGGACCCAGTTTGTGAGGGCAATAAGCTGACTTTGTAAAAATATACAAAACTATGAAGGCTATTGCTTAACGCACTGTAAGCCGCCCTGAGTCTCCGGAGAAGGGTGGCATATAAATCAAATTAAAAAATAAATAAATAAATTAGCTCAATTGTGTTTCTTTCTTTCTTTTTTTTTTACAGATTAACAGAGTTGGAATGGATCTTGTAGGTCATCTAGTCCAACCCCCAGCCCAAGCAGGAGACCCTGTACCATTCCTGACAGATGGCAGTCCAGTCTCTTCTTGAAAGCCTCCAGTGATGAAGCTCCCACAACTTCTGAAGGCAACTTCTGTTCCATGGGTTGATTGCTCTCATTGTCAGAAAATTTCTCCTTATTTCTAGTTTGAATCTCTCCTGGTTCAGTTTCCATCCATTGTTCCTTCTCTGGCCTTCAGGTGCTTTGGAAAATAGGATTATTATTTTTTTTAGTAATGTGTAAATATGAATTTGGGCTGTGATATTTCCCTACAGCCTTGTTTCTTTGCCCTTACCAGCATCCTAATGGGTGTTTCACACAATTAAGGTTGGGAGATTCAGGTCTGCCACCAAGCAGAACCTCGGCAGAAGTAGCTACCACCAGTTTTGGCTTTTCAAGATGTGAGCAACGGATACGCACAAACCTGTTAGAAAACATGTTTTCCTCCCTTCCTTGTGTGTAATCCTAAAAGGTGACAATTTGTCTTGTTCAGTGCTTTAATTTTGAGACACCGGATGGAACTGCAGCTTCTTTGTGTCCTCTTGTTTGACTTTTGTGGTCTCCTTCTCACACACACACAAATTGCTTTCGTGCCTTAACTTTGAAAGGAAGGATGCAAATCTTTGGAAATTTGATTATTTTATAGAACGTAAGACAACCCCTCTCCGAGGGGGAATGGGTGGTTAAGAAATATGACGTGTATGTTAAGGACATTGGTGTTGTGTTACCAACCAGCAGAGTAAATGCACAAGGAAACAATGAATAAGAGATATGCAAACTGGTTTATCAAATAAGCAAATAAATAAAATAACTCGCCCTCGATTAAAACTGAAGATTAGTTGCAAACCAAGAATTTTGGAACTACTTTCTCGCCCAATAATGTGGATTCTTTGGTGGTTTCAGTGAATGTCATCTTTGTAACTGAGGTGTGAGTGTGACTGAACACACAAGCACTACTGAGGAAGAGAGGAAACTGGATTTGAAGTTCATCCAGATTCCAGAGCAACAGTAGGTCCTTCCATTCCTTGAGCCTGCAGTTTCAGAAAGTCTACATATCTCAAAGGTGCTTTTTTCGAGAGGCAACTTTCTTTGAAGATGTTTAACTGAAGAAGCTTTGTGGATGAGAAGCCAGAAGTCTTCAAAGAAAGTCCAGTTGCCTTTTGAAAAAGCATCTTTGGGGCAACCATGACCTGGATCAGGGGTCTCCAACTTGACGACTTTAAGCCTGGCGGACTTCAACTCCCAGAATTACCCAGACAACAAAGCTCTCAGAATTACCCAGCCAGCAAAGCAAAGCTGGCTGGGTAATTCTGGGAGTTGAAGTCCGCCAGGCTTAAAGTCGCCAAGGTTGGAGACTCCTGACCTGGATGACTGAGACTCTCCATAGACAGATTAGTCTAGGTAACTGTTCACTTATCTTGAAGTAGACAACTTCAGATTTACTCTTCTGAGCCCGGTTCAATGAGTTTGCAGCCAATCCTACGGTTGGCAAGTTTGAAACGCGGAGTAAGCAAAGTGCCATTGACTTTCCGCTTCGGGGCTGCGAAAGATCAGGCAGCGGAGGTAGGAGGAGACCAGGTGGCACCTTCTGCAGATCTTTGTCCAGCGGCCAACCCGAAACAGCCCAGAATCCCCCTCCTCCACTTGGCTACGCGGACAGGCAATGAAGGGAGAGGAGGACATCGTCTCCCCACCAACCTACCAAGGCACCACGCCTTTGGATGAACCTGGGAGGCGCCTCCCGCCTACAGAGCCGGATTTGAAACCCAGAACAGAGGGGGGCGGGGCCGGCTCAGGGGGCGGGGCCAGAGCCTGAGACAACGAGGCCGTGGATCTCAAGCCAAGGAGCCCAAAGAAGACTCGGCGGGCGAGGAGTCCAGCTTCTTCTTTCTTCCCCCGCCAGACAAGGTGGGTGGATGGGAGACGACAGGGTGGGTGGGTGGGTGGGTGCGTGCCTTCCCCGGGACTGGCAAAGGCTCCGGTTTCTGGTTCAGTGAGCCGGGGAGGATGGGTTGTGGCGAGGGGGGCGGTGGTGGTAGGTCCCCTGAATCAAGCCACGGTTTACACCTCCCTACTCTAATCTCAACTCTGAGACTGGAGCCCGAGTCGACCCGGAGGGGAGAGGCTGTCTCCACCCCTGCTGCCTGCCCCCGCGCCCTTCATGCCCCACGGTCTCGATCCTGGGGAAGGCGGAGGCTGGAAAAGGGAGGCGAGAGGCGAGTCTTCCCTTCGCTCCTGGGAAGCCTGCTGGAGCTGCTCACTCCTTGCAAACGCTCGGATTCCTCCAGACTTCTCGGGCGAAGGGGAGGGGAGGGCAATCGGGGTGGGGGCCAGCGAACCCTCCCTCTCCCGCGCCCCTAATGTTGGTGTCTTCTTTCTCCCAGCAGGGAGCCCCGGAAAGCCGCTGCGGGATTCAGACCAGCCCTTCCCTCGTTGCTGTCGCCTGCGAAAGGAAAGGAAAGGAAAGGAAGAAAGGAAAGGAAAGGAAAGGAAAGGAAAGGAAAGGGGCGGAGGCGGCGGGGAGGGGGGAGGTCAGCGGGCCATCACTCGCTTTGCAAGCGACTCCAAGCGCCCTCCTCCTCCTCCTCCTCCTCCTCCTCGCTGTTCTCTCTCCTCCCTTTCCCTCCTTTGGGGAAGGAGGGAGGGAGGGAGGGGGCCCCAGCCCTTCTGCAGAATGCAACCTCCCGAATCGAAGCTCCCGCACGCGCACCTGTCTCGGCGGACGCCCCAGCAGCTGGTCTGATCGATGAACGTTGCCTCGCCCTCCGCCGAGGTGGCTGCAGGCAGGCAGGCCGAACGAACGAACGAACGAACGAACGAACGAACGAACGAACGAACGAAAGAACGAACGGCCCCGGGCGGAATCAGTCCCCCCAGCTCCGCCGAAGTCGCTTTCTTTCCCGAGCCAAACCTTCCACCGGAGGGTTTCTTTTGTTCAGCGGCCCCAGCGCCAGCCAGCCAGCCAGGCAGGGCCAGTCGAGAGGGGCGGCACTCTCTCTCTCTCTCTCTCTCTCTCTCTCTCTCTCTCTCTCTCTCTCTTCCTTCGGGCTCTCCCGCCTCCCTTCCCCGCCTTCCCCCCTCCCCGCTCCAGCCTCTTCCCTAGTGGAGCAAGTCTTTCAAAAGTTGAGTTAAGCCAGAGGAGAGGTTGAAGGGAACCGAGGGCGGAGGAGGAAAGGGCGAAGAGCGAACCCAGCACCTGCCCCCAGGGATTGGGCGCTCCCCATACTCCGCCACTGCCTCTTCCACCCCCACCCCCACCCCCGGCCCGACCAGGTTTGGGGATTCAGAAAGGAGGTCGGGTTCGAGGAGAGCTTCCTTCCCGGTTGTCCAGCTTCCCCAAGGCTTTGAGCGCAGGACCCCTTGGGAATAGCAGCTGGCCCGGGGGGGGGGGGCTGTTCTCCGACTCCCGGTGCTCCTGTCTGGTGGAGCATTTGCACCTCGTTCCCCCAACACTTTTTCGGGTAGCGAGAGGAAGAGGAGGAGGAGGAGGAGGAGGAGGATCTAAGGCAGTCGCCGGGTTTTGCAAGCTGTGGTCAGTCGTTCTCTCCCTTCCCAGAAGTTCTCTCTCCGTCCCCTCCGAGGTCCGGGAGCCTGGCCGATGCCGGGGAGGCCTCCTCCGGGGAAATCACCATTGGACTGGGCAGCACTGGCCACCCGCCGGCCGCTTCTGGAGAGACAGCCCAGCCGTGCCCGGGCTGGAAGAGGCGTGCCTCTCGGCCGTCTTTCGGATGGGTTTCTTCTCCCGCTCTGCCTCCCCCCCACCCCACCAAAGGAGTACCTCATTTAAGCCCCTCTGATGGGACCTCCGCATCCTTCCACCCCTCCCGGGGCTTAAGACCTGCCCTGGAGTAACCAAGCTTCGGAAAGGCAGCGCCTTCAGGAAAGAGAAGCGGAGGAGCAGAGAGAAAAAGAAAAAGAGAAAGAGAGAGAGAAGTAGAGTCCGGGAGTTCTCGGCGCCACCGGTTCGACGGGAGTTTGCCAAGAGTGGGCGGCTTTGGCAGGGCTGGGCGAGAGAAAGCTTGTAGTTCAGGCCACGCGGGCCGGAGCTTCCCTTCCCCTTCCCGACGGCTCCAAGCTGGCTTGTTGAGGAGAGAGAGAGAGAGAGAGAGGCGCCGTTGATGGCCCTGCGCGCCGGGACGGCTTGCTTTGCGCAGCTCCTGCGCAGGGTTCGCCGGCTGCGCCTGCCGCTGTCCAGACGCTCCAGCAGCCTCCTCTGCCTCTCCGCCTCCCACGAAGCCGACCACGCAGGCGGAGAGCAGTCGCCGCCGCCGCCGCCGATTCAGCACCAAGGACAGCAGCCGTGCCGAGGGAGCCCGATTGCCCGTCGTTGCCGCCGCCCCGCGCTGCTCGCCTGGCGGGGCGGCTGCTTCGGGGCCACCCTGTCGGATCCGCGGGCGGCCAGGGGGGGACATGGTCCCCTCCGCGGGCCCTTCCTGGCGGCCATGAAGAGGCAGAACGTGCGGACTCTCTCGCTGATCATCTGCACGTTCACTTACCTGCTGGTGGGGGCGGCGGTCTTCGACGCCCTGGAGTCGGAGCACGAGCTGCGCGAGGAGGAGCAGCTGAAAGCGGAGGAGACCCGGCTGAAGGGGAAATACAACATCACCAGCGACGATTACCAGCAACTGGAAGAGATCATCATGCAGTCGGAACCCCATCGGGCCGGCGTCCAGTGGAAATTCGCCGGCTCTTTCTACTTTGCCATTACGGTCATCACCACCATTGGTAAGTCCCCCCCCTTCTCGGTGGGGAGTGGGGGGTGGGGGTGGGGGGGTGAAGGATGTCCTTGGGGGGTGGGTGGGCGAAGGAGGCCAAGTCTTGCCTGAGCAATTGACAGGTGGAGCAGAAGGCAAAGAAGGGAAAAGTGGCTCAAGCTGAGATGAAGGGTTGGACGACTGTAGGATTGTGGGAAGAGAAGGCAAGGACAACCTTGGGGTGCGAGGCTGAAGTTTCACCCTTCCTTGAAGTTCTGGGGTTACCATCAAGAGTTTTCCCCCTTTCTTGAAATTCCCCAACTTGTGGTCGAGTCATTCCCACTTGCTCATATTCCTGGGAAAAGTTTTCTCCATGGCAGAGAACTAGGTTGGGAGTAAAAAACAGGGACTGGAAAGGTTTCGGAGGAAATTAACTGTTGCTTCCATCTCTCCACACCCATGTCTGGGAAGCAACACAAATCCAGAACATGTTTCCGCAGAAATACTAAGGAAATGCTTCTGGCATTGTTCATTGGCATAGATCCCTGACACAAAAAGACTTATTTAGAGGAAAATGTTAAGCACAGCAACTTTTCAAAACAATTAGGCCTGCTATCCTAATGTACAAGCCCTGGGAACTACTTCTCAGACTTAGTTACCTGGGGGGACAGGTGTAGAAGGATTTGAGCTGCAAGTTTAGTTTTGTTTTTGTTTTTGTTTAAGCTTGATAACATCCTAGGGAAAAGATTTGCAAAACTTCCATGGTTGTTCCTGGGCTGTTGTTATAAAATCATTTTTAATGAGCTAAATACGAAATCTTTACAAATGGGTAGTTTGGAAGACATTACACCTGAACTAAAGAGTTGTTGGGATACAAAGAACTCAGTATTATGTTTTTAACCGCTCCTTCTGATCACTTATTTTGGGAAGGAAGTGAATTGTCTAGAAAGTCTTTATGACTATCCTAGTTACAGGCTCATAGCTTCCCTTACTTCTTGTGAGAAAGAAAACAGTCAGCCATCAAGCAATATAACAACGCCGGGAGTATTTCTTTTTCAACAGTGGAACTCTTTAAAGAGTTAAATAAACTGTTTTTAGTGCAGTAGAATTGGCAGTTGGCTTCAGAGAAACTTCCCTTCCTCAATGTGGGTCTATCAACCCTATCAGCCTGAAACTCCTGGTTAAAAAGAAGTTGGCAAAAGAGCATAAAAATATCGAAGTGATGAGGTGCCCTCTCTAACCATTTTTGCAGCTGTTCCATCACAAGATGCGTATTTTTTAAAACCAACAGATATGTCTTCTTAGGACATTGCTACCTGTGGCAGTCCCAAAATATGACTTGGTTAATTATGCCTCGGTTCTATTGGGCGCGATGTGAACAAATAGAATTGTGTGATTAATCAAGATGGAAAATTATCACGTGGCTAGTCTTGTTGCATCAACGGAGTTATTAATACATGAACACGCTGCCTGTTTTCTAAAGGAAGGTCCATTTCATCTTAATTAGAATTGTCAGCGAGACAAACGACGCAGCTGCCACTTTCCTTTGGTTTATGTTTTGATGTTCTTACCTGCGGCAACGGATCGCTAACCGGACGGACGATCCAACACGCTTCTGTAATTGGTGTCTTCATTCAAGGGGGGAAAAAGTTTTATCCGTGTCACATGTGTGCATTGGTTCCCTTCGTTCTTGCACAGTGGTCTCTCTCTTACCTTATCATGAAGATTCCCTGTGAATTTGCGGTCTCAATGGTTTAGGACTGGTTTTAACGTGTGCTTATTAGTGGAGAGGCTAGGAAGATCAAGTTAAAAATAACCATTCCAGCTGCTTCTTTTTATGGTGTTTTAATTTTTCTATTAATTCCAGTTAGTGGCCCTTTTAGAGCGTCTCTCTGCTACAGCAGTATCCAGTAGTTTGCTTTCATTTGGGCTGGCTATTAAGTTAATAACGCAGATAATAAGAGCAAGAGTTGAACAACGAGAGGGAAATCTTTTGTGCCGATAGAACCATTTGTTAAAAGCTTGCTGTCCTCAACATTTCTGAGCTGTTAATTTTAGTTGGAGACTTGAAATGCTGAGCTTCTGGAACGTAGCTAAGAATTTTCTCATTGTGTTAACCACAAAAAAAAACAAAATCCCCAAAGTGGCCAAGATTGTAAGTAATGCCACAACTTGGCAAGGCTCCATCAAGGGTGGGAATAACAGACTGTGTACCTTACCCATCCAACATTTCAGCTGTAAGTTTTAAAAGTCTAGATAGTTTCAGTGGATGTTACAGATGGGGACTTAAAACAATTTATAGCAAAGGCAAGTCCTGCAGGTAATTATCGATTTTGAAGGGAAATATAGTTGAAATCTATAAAACTTTGCAGAAAAGGGATTGGAAATATGTTGTTCTCTTACTCAGGGTGGAATCTGTAGTCCTTCATTGTAGAAAAATAATGCGGAAAACCAGAATGATAAAAGGAAGACTTTTCTATACACAATATAGAATCCAACTATGGAATTCCATTCTTTGCCTATTTATCTATTGGAGGCGTGGTGGCCTAGTGGTGAAGATACTTGCCTCCACTCGGAAGGTTGAGAGTTCAATCCTAGGTAGGAGCAGCTGTTTCTCTCCTAGAACGCAAAGAAAAAAAATATCTGCTGTCAACTCCACATGGGTGTCAGGAAGGGCATCTGGCCAGTAAATGCTCAGCTCCATCCAGTCGCCCCAATTCTACCCTGAATACGGCCTACATGTTTGTAAAAAGGGATTTATCTAACCATCCATCCATCCGTTGTGAGCTGCCTAGGTATTTCCTGAGATGAGTGGCTATAAAAATCTCTCTCTCCCCCTCTCTCTGTCATTCTCTCTCTCTCTTTGTCTTCCATCCATCCACCTGTCTAAGGAACTCTAGGCGGCCTACCAAATACTAGGTCATTGCATTCTATTCCAAGACCTATTGGAAGAGGCAGTGGGATCAAGGACTCAGAAACGACGCTCTTCCAAAGGACAGGCTTAGCTATGGAGAAGACATGTCTCCTAAACTCCCTGGGTTGTCACTAGAGCTGCAAAATGAAGCATCCCAACTCTCCCAGATATGGCTGGTTGATAATAGGAGAGAGAAGGTCCCTTGGCCATGAGATGTTATGAAGGACATAGAAATGCCAAACCTTGATAGAAAGAGTTACCAATGGATTCCGCCTTCCAAATCAAGGCAACATTGCTATGTATAATGGCTTTTAGGAAACAACAGTGATATATTTGCTTTTCTGTCCAGCTTCATGAACTGTCTGAATATTTCTGTGATACAAAATGCTGGACCAACCAATATAAGCCTTGAACATCCACATGGTCACATCATTCTGCCTTAAATCAACGCACAACTTCTTTGTTGCCCAAGGATGCGTAAATCCTTATGGTGAAATTAGTTGCCCGTGGAACGTATCAAAATCGATGGCAAATTAATCATGATTTCATTTCAGTCCTGCAGAATTCACAATCCAGGACTCTGTCTGAACAGCAACCAGGTTTGTGGTGGCATAAACTGATGAAATGGGTTAGGTTTGTACAACTAGCCAACATTAACCAACTAGCCAAGCTGTGGGACTGTATGTGCTAGATCTTCATTTATTGCTGTGTGAATGAAGTCACTGAAGTCAATAAGCTGACTTTGTATAAAATATACAAAAAGTATGAAGGCTATTGCTTAATGCATTGTAAGCCGCCCGGAGTTTCCGGAGAAGGGCGGCATATAAAAATAAATAAAATAAAATAAAATAAAATAAAATAAAATAAAATAAAATAAATACTGTCAGAAGAAATAGATTAGCTTTCCCTCTTTAATGGGTGGACAGCTCTCCCTCCCTCACATATATTTTTCTTTTGATCTTTTTTGACTTTAGGGGAAAATTTTTTTTTTTTCCAAGTTGAAAAAGCTGGTTGTTGACATGAAGGGTGCTGCTTTTGTTGAGTGTTTGGTGGTGGTGTTGGGTGTTTTTTTTTTTTAAAGTTTCTATTTTTAAACTCACCTTGAAGACATTGTTTGCTCTCAGTTTTTCAGTTGAGAAGTCACCTGGGTACCATTCAGAATTAAAAAAAAAGAACATTTTGTAGCTCAGTGAGAAAAGATTTAGCATTTCATTGTGTTGGGACACTAGAATTTAAGTTGCAAATTTAATTTGTCTCATCTATGAATACATCTACTTGTACTTTCTAGATCTAGATTCTAGACTCTTATTCAAGATTGGGAGGGGAAAGGAATGAAATGATGACGATAATGATGTTGCTCCAAAGATTAACTTCTTTGGATAATAAATTGGCATTTGACTCTGAAATGGTTAAGGGTTTTGGAACCGTCTGTTTGTTTAAAACATTTAAACATCTAGAATTAAAATTATCTAATTTCCTCCCAGGCACTGTCCAAATTTGATAATCCCTTTTATAGTTTGATTATTAACATTTATTGCTAGGTACTGATTTTTTTTGTTTGTTTGAACCAAACCATTAAAGTGAAGTTCCAAGCTAAGAAATAGACAATGTAGAGTATTGAAGGAAGGCAAATCAGTCACTAAGAAATAACTATGAGCACATGCTGTTAATGCTAGGATGATCTTCTTACAGATTATTGCTCAATTTTGTGATCAACTATGGATTAAGGTCTGAAATGAAAGCTTGGTAAAGAAAACATCTTTTATCCTGGCATAGTTTGGAGATATTTCTATTTAAGATCATGTGAAGAGTTAATACCACTTTATAATGCCTTGGTAAGGCCACACTTGGAATCCTGTATCCAGTTTTGGTTGCCACGATGTTAAAAAAAATGTTGAGACTCTGGAAAGAGTGCAAAGAAGAGCAACAAAGAGGATTAGGGGACTGGAGGCTAAAGCATATGAAGAACGGTTGCTGGAATTGGGTATGTCTAGTTTGATGAAGAGAAGGTCTTGGGGTGACATGATAGCAGTGTTGCAATGTCTCAGGGGCTGCCACGAAAAAGAGGGAGTCAAGCTATTCTCCAAAGCACCAGAAGGCAGGACAAGAAGTAATGG